ATGCACCAGGTGAGGGCGCACCCAGACCAGGTGGTGCACCACCCCGGTTCGCCGGAATTCACTGTTCCCCACTGCGTTGTCGCGACCTTCGCGACTGACATTTTTCTGGGCAAAATTCGAGCTATGAGTTGTTGTTTGGGATGAACTGAATCTATGGTTGAGGTCGTCTATGTGTGGGCTTTCTACCAGTGGTGAGCTCCGATCATGGGGATGACCAGAGGTGGTGTTTCCGACGTTTTTCAGATTTTTAGGCACCCAACTTTGAGCTTCAATTCCGGTCAAATTATTTGATGAAATTGGAAGGGGTTTGTTGGTAATTGATGGGGGGATTAAAGGCTTTCCAATGATATCCAAATCCGATGGTTTGGGTGGCCGAAAGTCATCGGAATTTTGGTGTATTTTTACTGTTAGAGATGCGGCTAAGAGAGGGAATTGCACTTCAGACCCTCCAATTTTAAAAAGTTCCTTAATTTTGCTCAGTGACTATTTTTGAAAGTGATTGTAAGTTGAGTGACCGTTTGTGCAAGTTTCGAATTTCAGTGACCGTTTTGAAATTTTGCTGTAATTTCAATGACCATTTATGAAATTAACCCTATTTTGGTGTAATGGGTTGGATGGAGATAACTAAGGCTATGTTTGAGCCCATTTTTTGAAAAAATAAATTTTATAATAATGATTTTTTTTTTTTTTGAGACCGTGCAATGAAAAAGTAAGAAAAAAATTTAAATTTAGGTGTAAAATTATTTTACTGGTAGAAAGTGCGACTAAAAATGAGTACATGGTAAATAAAATGGTGTGTGGGAGTTGCATCATTTTATGAAATGGGCTGAAAATGGCCTAAGAGCCTTGCCCGAGTTTTGGACTTTCTTTTCAACAATATTAATTCTTGGCGTCAATCATCACCCCCACTGAGACTTTATTTTATTATAGCCACACAATTGATATGAATTGTGAAGTTTGTCATTTCTACCTAATCCAAATCCAAATTCATGCAATGATTAGTAACAGATCTAATTATCTAGAGACACTGGATAACTCAGAAGCAACAAATGGTAAATAGTTAAGCAATGGCATAATCACTTTTACTTTAAATAAAAAGTGAATTATAAAGAGAAAAAAATTTGTTAGAAATACTTACCCAAAGATGCTTAGACTTGGCTTGAGTGAAGCTGGAAAAGCTTCCATTTCTTGTTAATTTTCCAAACGTAGCCTTTGTCCCAGCATTGTCATCACCAATATCCTTCTTCTGACCCTTAAGTTTGAGATTCTTTTTTCCCCAAGAATCAAATAAACCTCTCCTTTTGTGTCCTTTCTTGCAAAGTACAACAGTTCTAAGCTGCCCTTTCTCAGGACTTGTGCTGCCTGTAATGTCAAAAGACCCTTTACTCTTCCTGAGAGATCTGAATGAAAAAGAAGAGAGCTTGGACCTGTCCACGTAAGGTCCATCCAAGACTGTGGTGGGAGAGATTGTTTTGGTAATTTTAGCGGACTCCATGAACAGTCTTGGAGGAAGCTCTAAGCACTTTGTTTCGGTTTTTATAGGGTTAGGCAGTGCGATAAGAGCGGTGCATGGTCTAGGCTTCCCAGGCTCCTCCTCCCATTGAAATGGAACTGAAGCTAAACTGTGCAGTGGTGGTGTTAGCATCCCTGTACGATCAGGTGACAGCATCATGGGTGGTACTGTTTTGGAGAAGAGTAGAAGCTTAGGTGTAGAATATTGCCCTACTTCACCCTGAAATCCCATGCTTGTTTGCTTGTACCTTGACGGTGGTGATGGTGGAGCGGTGGGGGCAGCGTAGGTGGAATATGGGTTTGTGAAGGACTGAAGGAGATTGGTGTTTTACTTTTGGAAAAAGATATACGCGAGGGCCCCGTACTTTTACTTGGGGATATAGAGTGAAAGGTAGACTAGACTTGTAGATACTGACAAGATAAAAGAAGGCATGAATAGTTATATTCAAATTGTATTGGCTAGTTTTGTATTCAGAATCAAAATTTATTGTGTTGTAATTAAGGTCAAAAAGTCGGAGTTGGGAGTACGTTTTGAAAGAATCAAAGATGAAACAAGGAGAAAGAGTCACTGCAAAATCGCTCGCTGACTGCATGTGGAACGCTTGAACAGTCATATTATATATTGAAACCCTAATTCGCTATTTTGACAAAATTTTCAATCTCAAACAAATCCAAACACTCCATATCATATATACCTAAACCATACATCGTCCCTATTGTTGGTTGAAGTTGAACCTCTTTTGAATCAACATAACATAATATTGAAGATCAATAACACAATCCAAATATCTTTAACATTAACCACAAAAGCAAAACATCAAAAATCTCAAATATCAAAACACCAAATAAACCACTTCCAATCATCTTCTTTGTGAAGAACGGATTCATTTTTGATGATCAGCGAGGAGAAAAAAATCTATAGGTTCTAAAGTTGGTGCTGGAGCGCACAATCAATGAGTTCTTCGATGATTTACAAGTTATGTGGTCAGAGTCTACTAATGCTTAGTTGTGTTTGGACTAACTGTAAGTTATATTTTTTAGTGGATCGTTTTGACAAGGTGTTCCCGAAAGTTTTTATCCATTTGAAGAGTTCTTCAAGGAATTTTTTTTTTCGTTAACATATTTGATGTTAATTATACTTTTATGCTTAGATATATATCGTATGATTGACCATTAGGGATTAATTGGATTAAACTTAATGATCTATAAACAATAACCTGTGATTTATTGCTTATTAAATTTTACTCATTTTTAATTTTGGTCTAAACATCGATTATTTTCAAATAGTATTAAGACTTCTTATTCCTTCTTAAAATGTTAACTTTGTTAAAATGAGTAACTCAAGTCTCTATATAATTGTCTATATTTTTATTCTTATTCGATGTATGATTTATTCTTTAACATTAAAATTTGCATGCTCATTTTTTGAGTTTTAAACATATTGAATTGCCAGTTCAATTTTATTAAACTCTAATACGATATTAAGATTTAGAATTCCATACTAAAATGTTAATCTAGTTAAAAGTAGTAATTCAAATTTTTATGTGTTGGTCTATATTTTCATCTTTATAATGTTGGATTTATCCATCAGCAAATACAATTCTTTGGATCATTTCTACTTTATGTGGGCATTAATTATATATTTTAATTTTTGATAAATACGGTCTTAATTTTTTCTTGTCAAGTATTTGGTAAAGAGAAAAAATGGTAGCTTAGAAAATTATAAGCGGAATTTTGGTTTATTCATAACGCCGCAGCTTATTTTTATAATAATTTTCCCCTGGAAGAGTACAAAAGAGATAAATTTATGCGTTGCCAGAATCTAAACATTGATAAAGATACATCCTTTTCAACGGCCTTTTTCTCTGTGCTATGAAAGAAAGTGTCAGATCTTTTCAGGAATTGATTTGGACTAAACCCGTTTTGACATTCTCCAATCTTAAAATTTTAGAACTCATAAATCTTAAATTTAATTAAGAGGAAATTGTAAAAAAAATGTCAACTTTTATGTAGTCACTAGTGGAGGCACGCACATGCGTGCGTTCTTCTCTTTGTGCATATTAGCATTGGGACTGCATATATATACTGCAATAAATAGATGGAAGTAAAGTCATGAATGACATGTAAGCGAAGAAGAAATTCCTATTACAAAATGAAAAAGAAAGCATTTTGGATGTTATAAGTACTTAAAACTGAATTATTTGCAAATAGAGGATATGCGAAATAGAAAATTGCTGGTAGAAAGAAAGAAACTGATAGAGTAAACATACTTCAATAGAATACACAAAATATGCTTGCTACACTATGAGTATTTTCCTGTCAATCATTCAGCTACTTGAGCAGTTAACATACGTATCAAGCATACATGAATGAGGTTTGGAGTCCAAAAGAAAATACAACTTCTCAATTTTAAATCCTCAAAGTGTAACACAGCAAGTGTTCCATTGTAAGCTAGATGATTTGGTGTCTTCTACTTAGTTATAGCCAAAAAAGACTTTATTCATCAAGGTTGAAACTGCATTGCAGAAGTTTTTTCAAGGCAGTTGCAGCTGCGTCTTTGTCTCCCACTGTTTTTTCTGCTTTCTTGTTCGCGGTGTTGGGCTGTTCATCAGGATTCTAGAATAGAGATCGCTTAGTGGGTGGAGACTGAGGCAACACATTTTTGTTGGAAGGTGCAACGTCTTCAACATTGATTTTATCATTTCCCTTGTTACCAGGCACCATTTTCGGAGTAGCAAATGTTCCAACTGGATCAAGTATGAATATTATTTCGTATTTGAACTCTGAATAAGCAGTGCATTTTGTTGAGGGTGAGCCAGCAGCCATTGGAAGTG